GCACTGCATAATATAGTTTATTAACAAACATTCTTCGGCTTCTTTACAAGGTATTTGACAGCTTCAATTCAAGTAGGCCTACTCTATCACTTGTTGTTGTTGTTGGGTAATTGTTTATTGGCGTTCATTCAATGTTGAATATATACGCCATAATTATTTTTAATTTTATAAGGAAAATCAGTTATAAATAAGAAAACTGAGGATAAAGATTTGTAATGATATAATTAAAAAGTAACGCAATTTTTTAGGAGTCTCTGGATGGTTTGCAACTTCGTGTTTCTGCTTTTTTTTAAAAGTTTAATCTGGTCAGCCCGGTTTCGATGGCATGGAAAACTAGCTTTGCCCGATGTGAAACAGGCTTCTCGGCTACTCGGCGTGCGTGCGCAGTGATCTTTTAATTTTATAACGCACGGTGCCTAGACCACTCAGAAACACAGAAACACTATAAATTGAGACACATCGTACAGGGGCGCTCCTGAAACCGAATTTCCAATCCATTCAAGTAAATTGATATACAAATCTTATCACATTATCACTATTATTTTGTAAGCAAACATTTAAGTGGGCTCTTTGTTAGTATCAATGCATAAAAATAGAACAATTGAAAAATTAACGTCTTTATTTAATATTATATATGGCCTATATAGGCCTATATATTACATACCTACATACATTATATTTCTTTATTTATTCCTCCTTTTATTCTCTTTATGAGAATCTCCTAAAGAAGCGATAGGGGAAAGAAGTACTTTTGGCTTATTTTACTTTACTTGTAGGTAAACTTATTAGGTCTCTTGTTTTATTTGAAGCGACCTGTTCTATGGATATATAGTAGGATGGCATATTGAGCCTTCTGTGAAAACTTGAAAAGTATTCTTTTTGTTTCTTCTATTGTTTTGGTGTCTAAATCTGAGAAAAGCATTGCTCGTTCAATGATATACTTATTACAATAAAATATAAAATGTTCTTCTGTTTCACTGATGTTACAATAATCACAATATTCTGTTTCACTTAAACCCACTTTAGCCTTTTGTTGGTTCAGTTGAAGAACACCCATTCTCAATCTATGTAATATTACTTCACTGTATCTGTTTACCTTGATTGATATACATGAATGATTCTCAAATCGTTTTAAAGGTGATTCTATCGTTTTCCATCTTTCTTCCCCAATTTCTCGTATACTCTTTTACTCAGTATTGATTTCAGTTCTTGTACATTAAGATCATTGTTAATTTCTATGTTTTTCTTTAATGCTCTCTTAGCAAAACTATCTACTACTTCATTCCCTACTAGTCCACAGTGAGATGGGATCCATTCTAGCGTTATGTTTATACCTCTATAATGAAGATGTGTTATTTTTATCAGTATTTCTATTACGAAATTTTCTTTTATCTGCGATTCTATTGCATTTATTGTACTCAGAGAGTCTGAAAGAATAACTATACCAACATAAATATTCAAGTTTTCAATCCAACCTAATGCCATAATAATGGCTACTTGTTCTGCCCTGTATGACGATGTGTCATTGTGTAATCGTTTCTGTTCATGAATTTTCATCGCTGGTACGTAGAAGCCTGCTGCTGCGTTGCCTCTTTTAGGATCTTTAGATCCGTCTGTGTATATATGTAGGTGTGTTTTATATCTAGTGTTTATTACTTCTAAAGATTTGGCTTTTTGATAGTGTGGGTTGTCATTCTTGCTGATTAAAGTATGTAATTCAGTGGAGATGGTGGGTGGAATGTAATGCCATGGTGGAAATGGTATTGGTCTGTTTTCTTCAACTTCATCCGATTCTTGAACTATTTTCTCGTTTAGAATTCTAAAACCAAAGGGCTTTTTTCCTTTCTTTTTTTAAGATTTTCATACTGCCAACAGTTGATTGTACATTTTCGGACTGGGTGTTCGGGAGTAGATTTCACTTTAAAATAATATCTATTCGTCAGCATTTTTCTCCTTATATCTAGTGGTTCTTCTCCTGTTTCTTTAAGCAGGGATTGTAATGAAGTTCCAATAGGGCCACCAGTTATAATTTTTAAAGCCTGATATTGTACTGAGTTCAACGTATTCTTTACTAAGTTTGAAGCTGAATCGTATGCTTCACATCCATAGTCAAATAGTGAACGTATTAATGCTTTATATACAATAAGCATAGAGTGGGAGTCATTTCCCCATGATATACCAGTTATTTTCTTCAAAATATTCAATTTTATTTTACATCTTTTTACTATATCCTGAATATGTGGTCTCCAACTTAATTTTTTATCAAACATTAAGCCTAGGAATTTGTGCTCCTGTACAAAAGGCAAGGGTACTCCTTCAAGATTCAGTTCACATTTTTTATTACTATTTGTAAATAGAAGCGAAACTGTTTTTTCATGAGATATTGAAATTCCCCAGTATTTAAACCATTCATTTAACCGATGTAGGTATGTTTGAACTTTGTCTTGAACAAACGTTTCATTTTTACCTGATTTCCATATAGCACAGTCATCTGCAAATAATGATAAATTCACTTCCTTTTCCAATGGTATATCATGCATCATAATGTTGAATAAAATTGGGCTAAGGGCACTTCCTTGTGGTAATCCATTGGCTAGGGTAGATATTTTAGATAATGTATGTCCATTCCTCACTTGGAAGGTTCTTTTCTGTAGTAAGTTCTGAATAAATGTATACATGTTTCCTTTCACTCCTAATTTGAGTAATTTATATAATAAACCATTGTACCACAACTTATCGTATGCCTTTGTTACATCTATAAAGCAGACTAGAGTATGTTCATGGTTCCCTAAGCTTTGCTGAATACTATTTTCAAGTAGTATAATATTATCTGTAGAGCTTCTTCCTTTTCTGAATCCGCTCTGTATGCTCGGAAAAATACTTTTATTTTCTAAATACCAATCTAGTCTTCTATAAACCATCTTTTCCAATATCTTTATAAAGATGGGAGTTAATGTTATTGGTCTATACGATGATGGTTTTTGTGGATCTTTACCTGCTTTTAGTATCGGTATCAAGATTCCGTGTTTACACTGTTGGGGATGTTTCCACTTTCCCAAATCTTATTCATAATTTTTAACATTTTATTTTTAATCTGTACTGGTAACTTCTTGTAGATTTCATATCCAATTTTATCTTTTCCTGGTGCTGTATCTTTTTGATTTTTCAGGACTTGATTGAATTCTTGCATAGTAAATTTTTGATTCAAAGACTGATTTCTACGTTGTTCTTGATCGTCATTTACATTTTCTTGCATAATATATTCTTTAACTATATTTTCGGCTTCATTGTTTATTATTGTACTCTCACTAATATTTTCAAAATGATTAGCCATCACATTTACAACCTCTTGAGGATTTATTATTTCTTTCTCTTCGTATATTATCGATTTAATGTTTTTATTTTTCTTATTAGTCTTACTATTTTCTATTTTACGTATCATATTCCAAATGTCTGTCATTGATGTGAAACGAGTCATTTCCTTACAATAGGTGATCCAATAGTCTCGTTTTGCTTGTCTTTTGATCTTTTGTGCTTCTGCTTTCTCTATCACTAAAACATATGAGGTAATCAATTAGAGAATCACAATTTGTTCCATTTATACTTTCAAGACATGATAACCTTGTTATATGTATATTTTTCAGCAGTATTTCATATGACTATACATATATTAAACTAAAGGGTAATCCAACCTTCATAGCAAGCTACTCTAGAAGAAAGAAGATAATTCTGAGAAGCACACTGGTAAAAGTTTGAATGAAATCAGACAAAAAATGAGAAGGTTAATTATTCTTTCAAGTTGAATCAATTATGTGATGAGCCTTCAAAATGTCTCTGTGGTAAAGTGGCAGACAACTTTCCCATTTGCTCCAACCATAAACCACAAAACAACTAAAATTTCGATTGTTCAAAATGCACGACTCAGGATGATCTTGTCTTTTTAGAGGACCTGTAATGACCTATATAGTACTAGCCTACTAATGAAATACAAATCTCCATAATATATTTTGAGTGATGCCCCAAGCCTGAAGGCACTTGGGAGAAAAACAGAAAATTGTCATATTTTTTGTACACAACAAACGGTCATAGTCCACTGACCAAATTGCCGGTTTGAACAAAGAGATACTACTTGGTTTGAGATTGGTCATGTAGTGTTAAGGTATGCCCTCACTGCTTTGAATTATGGTAATATACCGGGGTAGTATATATACCGGGGTAGTACAGTTTGCCACTTCTCATTCCTCTAGCTCTGAGCTTGACATCATTCTCCTGAATTCTGTAAACTTTGAAGTCGATGGTTGTCTTTCAAATATTGTTATCATGGGGTTAACAGCTCGTAATATCATTACCTACATCATTTTTGCTGTAGTGATTGACCAAGTGGCCCGGATTATGTGAGTTTTGTTTCTTCTTCTTTGGTCTTGTTAATACTGGTATAATTATGTTCGTTGTTAAATGCTAGACAGTTTTCCGCTGGTAAACCCCGCAGTTTCCCTGACCGATCGAGCTGATGCGTACTTGCCGCGGCAGGTCGGGGGAAGAAATCTATAGGATGTACCCATTCTCCCTTTTACCATCGTGCATGTGGTATAAATACTGAAACTAGAAAGATCGAAATAGAATGTACATCAACGAAAGATTCTAGTTTCTTGAAATCATTCAAAGACTGAATTTGTCTTATTATTTGAACTTTGTCTTTCTTTCCAATTTTCTTTTTAATAGGCCTATGTTAATTGGTTTGGAAACAAATTTATAAAGTGCTATATTATGGAAAATGAGCATTGAAATTCTGATTAATTGGACTTAATACATGTATATAAGAATATTGTGTTAGATAGGCAGATGTATTCATGTATTATATTATGATTTGGAATAGGGGATGATTCTGATGGAAATGATTACATGATATTTAGAGAAAATGAGATAAATAACATAGTCATGCATATATGAAGCCAACTACATGTTTTTTTTAATATTTTTTTTTACTTGTTTTGATTATTTTTTTCTTCTCAATATGTTTTTCAAAAACAGATATAATCTTGGATTTCATAAGACTATTTTCACACATCATCCTGGGATCTGCAGAGCACTACCAGGCATTGGTAAATAGATTCATGAATTTATCTTCAACTCATCTTTGTTTCTTCTTGTTTTGCTATATCACATTTCAATAGTATGATCACCTGTGAAATAAATTACATTTAATGTAGTTATGGAAATGATTTCTTATAAATTGTTTGACAATAGGTTTTGATATGATAGACTTTAGATTATTCAATTTAATAACTTTCCTCCAGTAACACTATACTGTGTGATGAAGACAGATACAGATGCAGACAAAGAGTTAAAACAAACTTTCTTCAGGTATGAATGAATAAATACTCTCTTCTCTATTATGTTTTTCCAATTTTAAGTTAATGTTGTAATTAATTAGTATTTTATTTTATTTACACCATAAAGAAAATGGCTCTGAGGATATTGTGACTTCCTCCAATGGACTTGCATTTATATCATCTGTAAGTAAATATGAAAAAGCACAAGTCTTATGATATCATTATTATTACTACTATTATTGAGCCTTATTATATCATTATTATTACTACTTTTATTGAGCCTTATTATATCATTATTATTACTACTATTATTGAGCCTTATTATATCATTATTATTACTACTATTATTGAGCCTTATTATATCATTATTATTACTACTATTATTGAGCCTTATTATATCATTATTATTACTACTATTATTGAGCCTTATTATATCATTATTATTACTACTATTATTGAGCCTTATTATATCATTATTATTACTACTATTATTGAGCCTTATTATATCATTATTATTACTACTATGATTGAGCCTTATTATATCATTATTATTACTACTATTATTGAGCCTTATTATATCATTATTATTACTACTATGATTGAGCCTTATTATATCATTATTATTACTACTATTATTGAGCCTTATTATATCATTATTATTACTACTATTATTGAGCCTTATTATATCATTATTATTACTACAATTATTGAGCCTTATTATATCATTATTATTACTACTATTATTGAGCCTTATTATATCATTATTATTACTACTATTATTGAGCCTTATTATATCATTATTATTACTACTATTATTGAGCCTTATTATATCATTATTATTACTACAATTATTGAGCCTTATTATATCATTATTATTACTACTATGATTGAGCCTTATTATATCATTATTATTACTACTATGATTGAGCCTTATTATATCATTATTATTACTACTATGATTGAGCCTTATTATATCATTATTATTACTACTATTATTGAGCTATACCTGCAGACTTATGATTATGATTCTTAACACAAGAAAGAGATAGACCAATACAAATGGACGTAAATCATGGTTATACAACCTCATTATTGCTGGATACATGGCTAAACAGACGGCTTGGGTAACAATGGAGGCATGAGATCGCAATTATCCTTGGTTTTATATACCAAAGTGTATCAAGGCTACCTAATATGCATGGTAGTGGTAGGATGTGTATTATAACCTTTTTGGAGCACATAGGAGTTATATTTTACCTCGTGATCATATTTTCCCTCAATGCCGCACTTCATGAAAATATAACCCTTGGGAAAATTTAACCCCCTTATATATATTACACACCTACCTATCACTTATCAGTCAATATCTGTATACCGGTATCATATTGTCAATTTATTTATTATAATCATTCAAGGATATACATGTACGCTTGTACACTTGCTAGAAGGCAAGTAATATATTTGAAATTTCAGAGAAACCTGCATTAATAGCTCTCACTTGTTTGGAATTGGATCCCTTATTAAAGTAACCTGCATAAAAATGACCACCTGTCTATTTTCTTGTGTTCCTTTAGCTAGTTTCCATGCACAAGCCCTTGTCAGTCGTAGTGCGTATTGACTGAGACTATGAAGACTTCTTGGTCTACTGCACCCCATAGACCCTGTACTATAGCTTCTCTTATTTAAAGGTACTAGGTCCCATTTGCAGGCCAAAACAAATGAAAAAGTTAAATTCCAACTGCATTTGAAAGATAATACTAATTTAGAACTTCCCTAAAAAAGGTGGGGCTTGAAAATGTCTTCAAGTGGGAAAATAACGACTATTAGTTGTCAAATCGACTTAAGGGCTATAGAGCCCAAAAGTAATAGTCTTGATTTTCAGACAATTGTACCGAATGGTCATACGTTTTATGCTGCGCAAAGATTCAATCAGTTTAATCTTGGCCATCACAAGAAGTGGGTTATTGATGTAGACAAATGCTCATGTACCCTTTACAACTCTTTTCATGTATGTTATTACCAAAGAAGAAAAAAGGCCAGTCAGTCACTCAATAGTGTCTGACAGTGAAGTCTAGCAAGTAAACGGGTTTTCTTGCATAATTTGAATATGAGGACACTGCTAACGTTTACATTTCACAGATAGGACATACATGACATATTCATAATTCCTGCAAAGTTCTACAGCATTTGAGGTTGGCTGCAAAAGGGACATAGTACCTTTAACAAACCCAGACAGGGCATGCTGTATAAGTGTGAAAATAGAGTCTTTGTCTGTAGACTATCCATCCTTGAGCAGTCTGTACACTGCGATAAGTCAAGCCGGTCAACTGTAATCAACCATGGAGTTACTAGTTACTTTAATAACTCCATGAATCAACACAGCCTTCTGTGTTCTGATTGTAAAGATAGTTTCACACTGATTGTCAAGTAGGTTATATTATGAATGTCCTGATGAGAAGTGTAATTGTTTAACATGATGTCTGCCATCTTTTTGTGATTCATTATTTACTGACGATTGTCTAGAGAAAGAAAACCAAAATGAGGATAGGCTAAAAGAAACGCGCATTACACCTGAAAACAAAGTGATCAATAGCAAGAACAATAATCAGCCAAACCTCACAGATCAAACACTTCTCTTTATCAAGAATTTTAATGTTAAAGGTCTTCATGTTTTACACGTTAATGTGAGGTCTACCCTAAACAAGATATCGGAACTTGAAATTCCTTTTAAAAGAAATTGCTGTCTAGCTATTATTGCTTTCACTGAAACATGGTTAAATAATGCCATAAATTATGAAGAAATTGAAGTAGGCAGATCGATACTCGTCTGGCTCTGGAGGAGGTGTCTGTTTCTACACTGTTGGTCATAATGGTGGAATATTTATTTTTACCCCAGTTTAGGGAAGGATTTTAAAAAATTATTTATTTCTGATAGATCTAGATGATGGCATACATTCTCAGATTTTATTGAATATTAATTTGCGAGTGTTTGTTTTGCGTGACTGCTTAATCATTTGTGTGCTACTATGCTAATCAGCTAAGGTACCTACGTTCTTAAATCATAATTGACAGTAATGAGGATTAATGCCTCACAAAAGGGCACTATTAAAGCTGATCGACACGATTTTTATTCTGGGGTCTCACAGTAACGAGGCCATTGCTTAGCCCCTGAATCATGACTGTACGCAGTGTTTGCTAGGGTACGCGGCCCCTTCCACAAATCCCCCAAAACGAAGAAAATGCAATAAATTGTCAAAAATTCATTGCATTTTCCCCCGGCCCCAACAGGAAAAATTCCTCTGTAGGGCCATGCATTATGGTTCAAGGCAAGGCCACACAGAGGAATTTTTCCTGTTGGGGGCCGGGGGGAAATGCAATGAATTTTTGACAATTTATTGCATTTTCTTCGTTTTGGGGGATTTGTGGAAGGGGCCGCGTACCTTAGCAAACACTGCGTACAGTCATGATTCAGGGGCTAAGCAATGGCCTCGTTACTGTGAGGCCCCATGAAAAAAATCGTGTCGGTCAGCTACATATTAGTGCCCTTTTGTGAGGCATTAATCCTCTTTACTGTCAATTATGACTTAAGGACGTAGGTCCCTTAGCTGATTAGCATAGTAGCACACAAATGATTAAGCAGTCACGCAAAACAAACACTCGCAAATTAATATTCAATAAAATCTGAGAATGTATGTCATTATCTAGATCTATTAGAAATAAATAATTTTTTTAAATCCTTCCCTAAACTGGGGTAAAAATAAATATTCCACCATTATGACCAACAGTGTATATCAGAAATGATATTGCATTCAATATTATTGATGATATAAGTACTGGAGATACGGAATCCCCGTGGATTAATTTGCTTATACCCAGATCAAAATCATTTATTGTTGTTGGCGTTCTGTATAGACCTCCGAAAAACAATTTGTTTATCAAGAATTTTTTTTTTTTTAATTTTTTTTAAAAACGTTTTAGCCCTCCATAGGCTATTTTATTGAGTCAAACAAACATTTTTACAATTCAATGAAATTAAGTCTTTCCTTAACTCAAACAAAACAGAATACTTTCACATTTCTCTCCTTGTTGTTCATACAAACAAATGTTGAAGTGCCTGCCATTTAGTAAAAAAAATTGTTATGCATACCAGATATAGAATGGATATATCTCTCGTCTTCATAATATTGAATAATTTTCTTCTTCAAAGAACTAAAATTTGGAATTTTGTTATTAAGCTTTTGAACAAATAGTTGATGCTTAATCAAAGTCACTATGCAATTTAAAGCATCGTTTCTTTTGTCTTCAAAACCAAAATTACATTTTCTAAATTAAACTCTATCTGTAATTGAGAACCTTCATTTATCCATTTCACCGTTTCCTTCCAGATTTATTTACTGATTTCACAATTGTAAAAGAAATGTACAATATCTTCCAACTCTTTTTTACAAAACGAACATTTATCGTTACTCACTATTTTCATCTTATACAGTTGCTTGTTCAAAAAAAGAATCCTATTTATCAAGAAATTGTTGAATATTCTTGATATATTAAACAAGGATAACAAAATTATTCCTTTAGGAGACATGAATATTTGTCTTCTTCACAAATCGCAACTGGCTAAAAAATATATTGACCTGTACGTCTTCACGGGTTAAGTCAACTCATTAAAGAGGCAACGCGCGTTACACCTACATGTTCTTCTCTACTGGATTGTGTTAGTTGTAGCAAAGAAAACAAAATAAGTCAAAGTGGTGTCATTGATCTTGGTATTGGCGACCATTCTTTTACTTTCTGTACACAAAATATTAGACTGGCTATAGGTCATCACAGGACTTATGATCAGATCCATCCAAAAAATATACAGAAGAGACTTTCAATCTTCAACTATCTGCTGTTGATTGGTCATGAATAACTGACTGTACAGATGTAAATGAGGCATGGTCAATATGTCGACATGTTTTTATCTCAACTTTGAATATGATAGCGCCACTGAAACAGATACAAATAAAACAAAGGTCAAAGAAGAATAGCTCAGTGACCTGCTGTCTACACAGTCTACGTGTGTCAATTGGATGACTGTTAGTATTAATAAGATTTCTTTACACTTGGGAAAAACAGAAAGCATTTTGTTTTGTTATAAAAGTAGTTCTAAAAAGTCATTTGAATTCAAAGTGACACACAATATTCAAGTAATCAAGAGAAAAGAATCTGTGACGTACTTAGGCATTGAGTTGGCTAGCGCAATTTCATTTTCATCTTTAGTAGATTCAGTTGTAAAAAAGCAAATTCTAGTCTGAAATTTGTGTACAGATATCAAAGTTATAAGACGTATACTTTGCTTTGCTCTTATTCAATGTTTATTCAACTATGCTAGCCCTGTATGGTATAGTAACATAAACAAGTCAGATCGAAAGAAGTTGAAGATTATACAGAACAAAATGGTGAGATTTATCAACTGTTCTGGTGCAAGAACTCATGTTGGCTACAGTGAACTTTCTAAAGCTGGTTTTCTTGAAGTCAACCAAAGATCAAAACAACTTGTATTGCATCACGTGCATAAAATATATCATACTAGATCGAATCATTATTCGATCCAACTTGGATCTTGTTACTGACTAACATGATTTACTACAAGAAATAGCCAATTCAACTTTAACTTACCAGAAAGAGTAGGTAGTATTGGAAATTCGTTTTATTACATTGCCATAAGACATTAGATATCCCTTCCTACTGATATAAAGGAAATAGAAAACATTGCTCATTTCAAAGAGGAATAAATAACACTTGAGAGTCAAAGGAGAGAAGCGAAAGACTGAAATAGCCTATTAGCCTACATACAGAACACTTTTCTTTTCTCTGCCAGTTCGTACTTTTTAATTTTGTATATAATTATGTTTTTGTACATTTTAGAAATTCAACATATTCATTATTATTTGATTCTTCTTCTTTTCCTCTTCTTCTTCTTTTCCTCTTCCCCCCTCCTCTTTTTCTCTTCTCCTTTTTCATTTTCTTCTTCTTCTTCTTTTCTATATCTTTTTATTCTTCTTGTACTTATTATCATTTCTATCATTATTAGTTTAATGTTGTTATTATCATGATCATCATTATTATCTTTAAGAAGTTTTTTCTTATCTGTCTGTAAATAATATGATTTTAACTTATCAATTTTGTACATGTATGTCTGGGACCCCATTGGAAAATAGCTCTTGAGCTTTCTTGGGCTATCCTGTTCAGGCCGACTTAATTTTTATCTGTTATTATTTTATATTGTTGTATGTTGGAGGCTTGGCGAATGAAATCAATCAAACACTATGGCCCGAATTCACAAAGGAGGTTTGAGCTCAGACCAAGGTTTTCGTACGTCATATGACGCGTTTTACGCATTTTTTACAAACCTGGTTTGTAAAGAACAAAAGGAGGTTTGGCGAAACAAAAGGAGGTTTGAGCTTAAACCTTGGTCTGAGCTCAAACCTTGCTTTGTGAATTCGGGCCTGTAGGTTTGTTTGTAATTAGTTAAAGGTAAAGACCAGTTATGGTCATGCAATTGCATTGTGAAAGAAACGTTGTGGAATCGATCAGAAAAGGTTGATCATCTAGCATCTAGCATCTGCAAGGTTCTGGAATCATGAAAATGATAAGAAATTTGGCCCATTCTTCGTAAAGTTACAATCACTATACACAGAAAGATGTATATGGGACTACCCTATATCTCTCACAGACCATGAGAGAAACAAATTTACCAAATATATGAATTAGTAGGCGGTTTCCGGCAAATTTTTTATCATCATGTATTATTCAAAACATATTCTTTCACATGATTGGTAATGACAGGCGCGGATCCAGGGGGGGGGGCCGAGCGGGCCTTGGCCCCCCCCCCCCCCGCAAAAAAAAAAAAAAAAAAAAAAAGAGAGAAAAAGGAAAAGAAGCGAAAGGGAAAGAGGAGAGAAAGTGAAAGAAAGAAGAGGAAGAGGAAAGAAAAGGGGAAGAAGGAAGAAGGAGGGGGCCGAAAGGGCTTTGCCTCCCAGGCTGTTGACCCCCCCCCCCCCATAAAACAAATAAGAGAGAAGGAAGGAAAGGTAAAGGAAAAGAGGAGATACTGGCGTACTGAAAGGGGGGGGGGGGCTTAGTGGAAATCAAATTCAAACGTGGTTTATTTCTAATTCCACAACGGTGATTACAAATAATGCTGAAAAGACATCATTTCCGAGATTTTTCCTCACTTTTTAGTAAATTATACGTTTGTATGTGTTTGTTGGAAAATGACAAATTCCTAAATTTGCAGAGTCAGGCAAGAAATATGATTCTTGATATTCCTACATGTCAGGGCCCGAGGTACGGCGGGGATCGGGAGCCTCGAGCTCTCCCCCCTCCCCCCCCCCCACACTTTTGTTGAAAAAGTATATTAAAGAGAAATAAAATAGAATGAGAGCAAGAAAGAAAGAATAGTTAACTGCCAGCGTTAACAAATAATGAGGCATCAAAATATGCTCATCTGACCGTGATTAAATGCCTAAAACCCCTAAGCTTCCGTGGGCTCTGCCCCCTGAATCCCGCCAAGGGCCCTACGGCGGGCCCTTAGATGCTAATCTGACGGTAATTTAATGCCTAAAACCCCTGAATTTTGGGGGGCTCCGCCCCTGGACCCAACGCCAAATAGTTGCCTGCCAGTGTCACGAAATAATAAGGTATACAAAGAAAAATATGCTCATATGACCTTAATTAAACGCCTAAAACCTCCGACCTTCCGGGGCCGGCTTCGCCGCCGCCCCAGACAAGGATTAACAATCGAGAACGGTACTGCGAATCGTCTTCTTTGTCTCATAATCTTATGAAACGTGAAGCTTCCGCGCTTTGCGCGGGAGGGGGAACCTGAATTCAGACAAGGATTCAGAGGCGAAAACGGTAATACCAATCTTTTATGATTTAATAAAACGTAAAAGCTTCCGCGCTTCGCGTGGGATGGAGGGGGGGGACTTAATTCCGACGAGGATTATTTTCGAGAGCGGTACAACGAATCGTCTTCTTTCTCTAATGATTTATTGAAAATTAAAAGCTTCCGCGCTTCGCGCGGGGGGGGGGGGAACCTGAATTCAGACGAGGATTAAGAGTCGAGAACTGAACAGCAAATCGTCTTGTTTCTCTAATGATTTAATGAAACGTAAAAGCTTCCGCGCTTCGCGCGGGTGGGGGGAGAATCTAAATTCAGACGAGGATTATTTTCGAAAACAGTACAACGAATCGTCTTTTTTCCTAATGATTTTAGGAAACTTAAAAGCTTCCGCGCTTCGCGCGGGAGGGGGGGGGATCCTGAATTCAGACGAGGATTAAGATTCGAGAACGGTACAACGAATCGCCTTCTTTCTTTTATAGTTTAATGAAACGTCAGAGCTTCCACGCTTCGCCCAGGAGGGGGAGAGGGGGGGGGGGGGGGAACTGAATCTAGACAAGGATTAAGAGTCGAGAACGGTACAACGAATCGTCTTCTTTCTCTAATGATTTAATGAATCGTAAATGCTTCTACGCTTCGCGCGGAAGGGGTAAACTGAATTCAGACGAGGATTAAGAGTCGAGAACTGTACAACGAATCGTTTTGTTTCTCTAATGATTTAATGAAACGTAAAAGCTTCCGCGCTTCGCGCGGGAGGGGGGGGGGGGGAGAATCTAAATTCAGACGAGGATTATTTTCGAAATCGGTACAACGAATCGTCTTTTTTCTCTAATGATTTAAGAAACTTAAAAGCTTCCGGGGGGGGAACCTTAATTCAGACGAGAATTTAGAGTCGAGAACTCTACAACGAATCGTCTTCTTTCTCTAATAATTTAATAAATCCTAAAATTTTCCGCGCTTCGCGCAAGAGGGGAAAAACTAAATTCAGACGAGATTTATTTTCAAGAACGGTACAACGAACCGTCTTCTTTTTCTAATAATTAAATGAAACGTCAAAGCTTCCGCGTTTCGCGGAGGAGGGAGGGGGAAATTCGCCCCTCCCTGCACCGACCCCCCCCCCCGCATCACGTCACTGTTGGTCACCATTACGTACCAATATTTGGCTCGCATAATTTCAAATTTGGGCCCCCCCCCCTAAGAAATCCTGGATCCGCGCCTGGGTAATGAGAGCTTCCATTTCATTTTTTGAAACTGGGGCGTTTCCAATACTGGTCTTTACCTTTAAAGTCTTGTGCCTGTGTATTTTGAAAGTTTGATCAAAGTTGATATCTCTTCCAAATCAGGGTAACCTGAAAGAGTTGGAACCTGATCAAGGAATATTGGGTCGCATCTTTCTCTTTGACTTCAACCATCCTGATCTTGACCCTATAGACATCCAGATCATTGGCATCGATAAAGTAGCCTGGGATCCTGTAGGAATGGACATCTGGGAGAGTGGATCAAAAGGTATTCTAAAAATATTTTTTTCACAAATAGTCTTAACTCTTAACCGTCTTATGTCCACTAATAGAACAAAATGTGAACCGCCACTGTCAACTTTTTTCACAAGTACACGCTCCAAACAATGTGGCAGGCAGATCAGGGGGTTGATCAAAAGGGAATAAGGAGTTAAAATGGGATGAAATGACAGGAAGGTGGATTTGTAAATGACTAAAAGAAAAAGGGGGGGGGAAGAAAGAAAAATATTTCTTTTTAGTAAAGTTACAAAAGAAGGAAATTCGATCACTAGAAATAAGCAAGCAAAATATGTATTGATTTTACTAAAAGATAAATTCCTAGAAATGTTGCTGAGTGCAGACAAATTGTGTGACTGTATCTAGTGTATTGTCACTGTATTGGAAACTTGTTTCCACTGTAATTGATGTTATAATATCTACAGTATGTGATTCATGAATTTTGTAAATTTTGTTATACTACTGATCATATAAAGTAATATTGAGATAATTCTCTGTGAACTATCCTATGAGATTTCCTTACAATCATCTTACAATGATCATGTTTCTAGGATTAATGACAGCTAGTCTAAGCTATTTTGTCTCATATTTTACCAACCATGTATCAGGTGTTAATATGTGATCTTTGTATTAAGTTAGTAGCCCTACTAGCTAGAGTTTAAATGAGATCAATTATGGGTTGTACGACGCTTGCTCATGTAAAAGATACTTCACATCAATTTCCTTCACTTACTGAATTCTTAAATTCAACCCAAACTCAAAACTATGCCTAACCCCAACCCTAAACCTAAACTAAAGCTCAATTGCAACACTATAACCCTAACGTATGCCTTTGTCAAAATAAAGCCCGGAACAATTATAAAGAGAGTAAATGCCGGGTCAACCAATTCAACCAATGATGAAGTGACATAAAATAAGACATTTGATTCCACTATGTTTAGGACCCCACAATACATGTTAACATATGGGACACTAATTGACCAAAAAGCTTGGACTTGTGCTCATATAGTAAGTTGTCAAATTTTTGTCATTATCACTTTCTTTAGATAATCCCAAACTGTCCCTCTATGTCGTGAACAGGCAACCTGACAGAATAGGGATTGAGGTATTTGACTTTTCATACAAGAACAAGGTTCCTACCTTAACACATCAAAGAAGAATACATCACAAGAACATTTGGAGGTGGGTATACTTAATATTATTCAACGCCATTCATGAAAAATATTCTTTAGATTGAGAACAAGAACAGTTGCAGTTATTCATAATCAAACATAATTATCACCAAATTACCCTTTTTCAGCTGGGTAATTCTTAAAAATATTTATTGAATTATATAAGCATTATTCTTGTTATTATTTGTGTATCCCCCGGCAGTATGCTGAGGATACTTTGGATTTAGCAGCGTCACTATAGAGATGCATTATACTCTAATCTACACATTATTGTTGATGTTGATGAATTTAACACTTTATCATGAATTACAATTACTTAATTGTATAACATAAATAGTTCTGACATTTCAATTTTTATGTTTTTGTGCTCTCAAGGTCTTATACCCGAGTAAGTTATGTATAAGTTTTTTCTTAATTTAACACTACATCAGCACAATACTCCTAATTCATATATATTATCATGCACCATAGGTCAGAACTTTGATTTTCCCGTAGTTTAATATTAGTTTAAGGTCCTTCTCTATGGAACAAGCTTTCGCTTGCACTATTAATCAGCCTATTGCCTGATTCTTTTAAATGTTGTTATAAAGCCCATCTTATAAGTTTATAATAATAGTGTGAAATGTTATATGATGCATATTTATTTAGTACTTACTTTCTTTGTTTGTGGACTGTTTGTTTGTTATAACTATGTATGTATCATTAATTCAAATTCAAGTTCAAGTACAAGTTTATTTGTTTGACATTTCACAAAAAAGAATTCACATAATTGACAAGATTAGAACATAATGAAATATACTAAAAGGGTCACATTATATAATTAATTCTTTGAAAAGACGTCGAAATTAATTGTATTAAATAGAAGGTTGTACAGGGTGAAATGTGAGGAACCTATTAAAAAGCTCAGCTTGTAGATTATAGGTTCCCATCAATAAAACTAACATTTGATTGAAGTGGTTGTAATGGTGAAGGACTTAACAATAATAATAGGTGGGCAAGAAGGCCTTGACATGAGATGATATCAAAGTGAAACAAGCAAAATAGTAAAAGTAGCAAATACAGCAAACAAATTAATTTGTTACCAAATTTTGAGGTCAACGTACTATAAGGCTATTTGCTCTATTTTGTTAACCCCTTATGCTCATAATTTGTTTTGTCTAATTGCTTTGTATTGTTTCTATTGATGATGGTCTGTTATATATTTTATGTACCCGTATTTTGTTTTTATTGAGAGCAATATTAATTGATTGATGGTTTGTTATCTTATGTTGTAGTTTGTTTTTACCACTGCATTTTTAAAAACATGTTTAGGAATGGAAACTGAGGATGAAAAAGTGGCTGTGTGAAACAAAGATCCTACATGCAGCATGTTCTCACTATCTACATACACCAATCTGAAGTAATTCACTTAAAGACAGGGAAAAAATACTTTAAAAATTTCGGGGGCTACTTTTCAAGCTTGCTGCATGAAAATAACACTTTTTAATTAGTTTGCATTGAACTCTATGCAGATTTTTTTTGGCTCTTTTATGACTTTCGGGGCTCTTTTTAGCATATCAGGGGCTAATTCGCCCCGAGACCCCGTGTATTTATTTCACTGCTTAAAGGGCAATCCAACCCTTGTGATATTTAGTTCATTTATGAAAGCAAAATCAGAGAAACAGAATGGGTAAAAGTTTGAAATGTTTGAATTATGAAATCACTACATCTATGTGAATCTCGAACCGGCAATTTGGTCAGTTGATTGTGACCCACCTGAGCAAGAATTTTTGATTGTTTTTTTAAATTTAGTAATTTTATATGTTGGAACAGATGGGAAAGTAGTCCGGCACCACATCACGTTGATATTACCGCTTCGGCCAATTTGATGTGACGTATGGTGATTACAACTTTCAAAAATTAATAACTTTCTTATATTTAGTCAGATTTAATTGAAACTTTCATCAGCTTGCTTCTCTGATTTTTCTGCTTTTTTTTAAAAGTAGTTTTCTATTTGGGTTGGATTTCCCTTTAAACTAGCTATATAACCAAGTTGTGATGCTGACCCGTACTTTATTGTTTGTTGTGGATATCCGGTGGACTACCAACCTGTTTACCAACTACTTTGCTATACCGGTAGTCTATATTTCCAGACCATCGGTCAGTGGTCAAGACACTATAAATCTACCTTTTCAGCCAATTTGAAGTGGCATAGTATAGTGATTACCACTTTCAAAAATTCATAACTTTCTTATTTTTTGTCAGATTAGTTCACACTTTAACCAATCTGTTTCTTTGCTTTTCCTGCTTTCTTTTAGAATTGTTGGCTATGAGGGTTGGTTTTCCCATTCAGTCAGTATTTCTTTAACCCGTTTACTACTAAATGTTATAGGTCCCATAAGCTTAAAGGTATTACAAAGTTTTGGGAAATTTTGAAAAATGGGTGGATAGTGATTCTTTACAATTTGATATATTTGGATGTCCCTGTGGATGTATTAAAAGCACTAGAAATTTTAGCCCCTAAAACACTTCTGCTTTCGAGAAAAATTGAATATAAAGATTTACCGATGCTCCCGGTAAATTTTGAAAAATTTCAAATAGCTCCTACAGCCGTACAATGGTAGCTGCGACCATGAAAATCTCAGAATATGTAGTTGTGGTATATAATTTCCGAACGGGAATAGCAAATCGGTCCATTTTAGTCAAGAAACATTGTTTTACAGCTTAATTATATCTTGACCTTGAGAGGGAGCTATACAACATAAAGTGTTTATTATTTACAATTTCATAACTTTAGTGTCAATTTCGACCGCGACAACGATCAGAGAATATTGTAGGGTTGCATAATGCTTCCAATATGTTCATTTGAACCAAATTCACGACCCCATTCCAAAACTTTGTATCACCTTTAACACGGGGACCACCAGGTTCCCGTAAGCAAAGGGTTAAATGCTGTAGTTTACCAAATCTTACTTGAAGCAACATAGCAGACCTTTATTGTTGACAGAATCATTTTGTTAGAAATAGAATATGAATACGTATCCTGTTATGCCTTGTTCCACACAGTCCCAATGATGTTGTTTTGGTGGATGAAAATCGTTTCTACACAACAAATGATGCATATCTTCCCCCACCTATCGACATTCTAGAGGTCATATTTCAGCTTAGCTACGGCAGTGTGGCATACTATGACGGACGTGATGCCAGGATCGTTGCCAAAGGACTGAAGCTTGCTAATGGTGTAAACCTCTCTCCTAACAAAAAGTAAACCAATCCACCACTTGGTGTCATATATCTTTGATATTAAATATAAGCCTGTGGTTAAGATCTTTTAGAAATATCAGACAAACTGGAAAGACAATGTTTTATGCGTTTGTATCGCATAAATGATTAGATCTCATTATATTGGCAGATTATTCCTCCGTGCTTGATGGAATGTATACAGTTCTCTCTTGTATAATATACATCAGATAGCAGGCGCGGATCTACATGGCGATTTTTCCGGCCTGGCCCCCCCCCCCCCCCCCCCAGCCCTAAAATCTTTTTTTTTAATCGGATAATAACGCAAATTTAACCCTTTTTTTAAACAAAAACGCCCCCCAAAAGTGCTCTTACCCGGCTGAGTCGGCGCTAAATTTTCCTCAAAAAACTGTACCGAAACCCCCCCCCCCCCAAAAATGTGTGTGCTCTTACCCCCCCCCCCCCCCCCCCTCGCTTATTCACGCTAAAAAAAATTATCAAGATTTGGGCCCCCCTCTTGTCGCCGACTGGATCCGCCCCTGTCAGATAGTACTACTTGGATTGTGGATTAATCATAACCCATTCAACCAATGTTGTTAGAAAGTGATTTTCATCATTGTATACACTGTTACAGAGAAGAAATATGAGTTTGAAATGCTCCATGATACGGAGTCTTGCAAAGTTCATTAGAAATATCACAAAGGGGTTATCAAGCTAACAATTAATCCATTTCTATCAGTTTTTATCATTTTTTCCTCTTCCTTTTGTGATTGCTTGTGATTGTATAGGTTGATGTATGTGGCTTCATATCTTGGACAAGAGCTGTTTATCTACAGAGTCCAGAGTGATGGGAATTTGGAAAAGACAAAGGTGAGGTATCAATATGGTTACACTGGAGATTTCTCTTATTATTTTCAGTATGTGAATGTGAATGAGTAATATAATATTTACAGGATTTTATCTTTTATCATTTAATCATTTGAACAAAACATTTTGATAATAGAATTAACCTTGATGTTCATGATTATCATATACCTCCAGCCCAATTCATTATAATTATGATGATAATGAGAATACAGTGAACTTATATTGCGCCCTCTATCTAGTAAAATTATTCTGCGTTACATTATAGCACAAGAAAAGGCAAGAAGAAAATACTATACAGTGCGTCCCAGAAAAAACGAAACCGAGAAGTTTCGATGTTCCATCATAACTTAATCACAACTATAATTAATGAATTATACATATTTGGACAGCTTAGAGTCCCCTCTTTCATGTGATGCTACTCAGATGATGCATATGTCACGCATGAGTGATTAAAATCAATTTGAAGGAAGGAAACCAAAAAGACATTTGGCGGGCGGTATCTGAATTTCGTAGAAAAATTCCCATTTCTAGAAAGTTGAGTTTCTGCCCTTTCAGTTTGTCTGAAGATTCATTTGCGAGCTAGCGAAGCAAACGATCATACATTCTAAGATATGTAATGAGGTCCATTGCGACCAATTAGATATTAAAGTAAAGAGGAATAACAATCCTGATGGGGTTTTAAACACAATGACGTCGTCATGAAAGATTGAAAAAAACCTCAATACGTTACATAATTACATCAATTATATTAATACGAGCGAGCGTAGTAAGCGAGTCTTTGGCAATTCAAGAAAAAGTTGTTCCTAGTCGCTTTAGATTATGGGCACATTGTGATGGAGAGGGGCACTTATCAGAAGGGTAAAGGACACTTATCAGAGATGGTAAGGGACAATTCGCATACCTAAAAATGGGTTTTCACCAAAGATGAAAATGGCACATCAGAATAAACAAGGGACACTTAATTTGACAAAGGGGAAGGGTCACTTTTCGATGAAAAATTGACAGTTATTAGATTTCAATGGGAGCATTCATCACAGATGAAAAGGGGCGTTTATGAGAAAGGGAAGGGGCAGGGTTCTTATTTTTTTTTAAAGGAAGAGGGGCATTATCAGAAGGAAAAATGGCACTTATTAGAAAGGAAAAGGGGCACGTGTCGAAGTAAAAGGATGCCTTACAGATTTGAGTAGGGGAAATTATCAGAGGTGGAAAGAGGCGCTTACAATTAAAATATGGAACGGGCACCTATTAGGAAAGACAAAGGGATACTTTGAATACGGAAGCATATTTGAAGAAGATCTAAACCCTTCAATTAGCGGGGAAAATATAACACTAAAACATTTCAATTATTCATAACAAGCAACCTATAGATGTAGGCCTATATTCAGGTATTAAGGGAAAATTAAAAGTTTTATTAGTACATGTAGCTGTTTTATTCTGGTGCAATGGGAAAACCTAGTCCTCTCATGTAAACAAAAAATATGATAATAATTATTGATTGGTTGGATCAAATTTATAATGTACGGGCAATATCATATTACATGTCATTCAATCGAAGATGCTCTTTGGGCATCAAAACGCCAAAGCCTCGATGAGTGTAAAGGTTTCTACATTCTGCAAATCATTTCATGGTGCTTGCTTGACCTCAGAACTGGGCGCTGACTAATTACGGTGAATGCCATGGTTCTATATATCAGACTATATTTTTATGAATATCAACTTGATAGTCATACCATGCACCGTAATTAGTCAGCATCCCGTTCTGATCTACGCACCATATAAATGGCGTGACGACGACGTTTCTTTTCATGCATTGACTACTTCCGAGAACTACTTCCGCTTTTCGTGTCATTAGGCATGTAGGTCATCCATTCAAGCGTGGGGCCTGGGGTCTGATTATTAAAGCCCCCGGAAAATGTTGTACCTTAAAGGGAGGCTTTACTACTGCAGCTAGAAGGGATTAGACCACCCAGAGAGCCATCGAGGTCACTGTGACAGGTGGCTATCTCATTAACTCAGCTCTCATTTAACATAAGCAAAAGAGGATCATGGGGGATCAACAGGCACCGATTTGGGAAGTTTTCTATATAGAGGGAGCAAGTAGCTACAAGTAGTACAGTGTGCCTTTAAGATGCTCTATGGTACATTCAGAGGCATTAATGAATACGTAAACTGAACATTGATGTGAATATTTCCTAGCTTTCTTCTTCTCGTTTTGAGTCTCTCTCTCTCTCTCTAGCTCTTTATTATCCTGGTACTTGGTACTTGGTTGTTGTTCCTCCAAAAGATTCCTAGTGGAATTTAAACTGGAGGTCGTGGTGGCAGAGGGTGGACTTATTTTGGAAGGAGTGCTACTTTAAACTTTGCTGAGTCAGTCAGGGATACTAATGCCGAATCGAGATCATTCCATGCTCTGGTTGTGCGTGGAAAAAAAAAAGTTTTTGTATACATCTAATCTGGTTAATGGTATTTCGAACTGACTTGAGTGCCCGCGTCTGCTACGATCTGGTTTAGGTTTAATGTGTGTTTGGGCATCTATGTCCAGCTGGCCATGTAACATTTTGTGGAAACAGCTTAGACGATGAGCTTCGCGTCTGTCTTGGAGAGAGTTCCATTTAAGAGAATTTAGAAGGAGGGTGACGCTTGCTTCTCTCTGCTTGTGACAAAACGGGCTGCCTGCCTGTGGACTCGTTCGATTGAAGAAATGTTCTTAGCTGTGTATATGGGTCCCAAGCAGCAACTGCGTAATCTAAGTGTGGTCGTACGAGGGTGAGGTAGAGTTTCTCCTTTATGGAAGTTGAGCAGTGATGAAAGTTGCGTCTCAGGAAACTCAATACTCCTATAGCTTTTGTTGTTGCGAGGTGAGTTTGGCCATTCCATCGGAGGTCGTTCTGGATCACAACACCAAGGTACTTTGTCTGCTTACATTCTTCCAGGGTGACACCAAGGAGGTTGTATGAAGATTTACCCGTTTCTTCTTCCTGGTGACACGCATTGATTCACACTTTTTGGGGTTGAATTTCATGCCCCATTTCTGAGACCACTCCACCATTGCATCTAGGTCTTGTTGCAGGATGTCCACGTCGTTTACTGATTTAATTGGACGGTACAGCATGCAATCGTCTGCAAAAAGCTTAGTGGTGCTTTTGACTTTGTCGTGAATGTCATTTATGAAGAGCAAGAACAAGTGGGGACCGAGCACAGTTCCTTGCGGGGTTCCACTTAGAACTGGCTTCCAGTCGGAATGTTTTCCGTTAACACATACGCGTTGTAGTCGTTTTGTAAGGAAATTTGTCACCCATCTTAAGTTATCTGAACGGATTCCATAATAATCTAGCTTGTGAAGTAATTTCTGGTGGGGGATGACATCAAAGGCTTTAGAGAAGTCAAGTGTTATCAAATCTGTGGTGGCTTTTTCATCCAGGTTCTTTGCCAGGTCGTTAATTGTCAAAATAAGTTGAGATTCACATGATCTGCGTCTCCTAAAGGCGTGCTGATTTTCTGCAAGAATATTTAGTTCGCTAAGGTGGCTCATGAGGTTACTATCAATAATATGTTCAGAAAGTTTACAACAGGTACTCGTTAGTGAAATAGGGCGGTAATTTGCTGGGTCGGTGGTAGAGCCCTTCTTAAAAAGTGGAGGGATATTGGCCTTTCTCCAGTCCAGTGGGAGATCACCAGAATAGAGCGACTGTTGGAAGATGAACTGCAAGATGGGAGCTAGTTCTTCTGCTGCAATTTTGAGAGCTTGGTTCTGGATCTGGTCCGGGCCGATAGCCTGCGTTACATTGATGTTAAGTAGTAGCTTTTATTTGTGTTCGGAAGGGAAAAAAAAGGGGGGTGCCGGGCAGGGTCGTGAACCAAAGTGCAGGATAGTACATCGTCCTTCATTCTCCCAATATACATAGAAAGGCGGTGGTCTGAGTTCATCGTCAGCCTTAATTCGTACAAACTGCATTTGCAGCTTTGCTTTTGAAAGCTGTGGAGCCACGAGGTTTGCTTGTTCCAACCACTGACCATTGGCCTCCATAGCAAATGGAATCTTGACCATCACGAGAAGATTGTCAATGAATGCAAAGTTGGAGCAACGTTCATTTGACAGTGCCTCAATGAACAAAACAAATTATTACCCGTATCAGACATCTGAGCTGGTCATTTACAAAACCATATTGACTTAGTTTTCACTAGCAGTGGGAACGGAGGGGTATATTCTTTGTATTTTCCTTGGCCTCCCTGCGCGTATTGACTT